ATCAAAATCGAACAAAAATAGCCCAAAGATCAATTTTTCTTCAAACCAACCGGACCTAAAAGCTTCGACTCCGGCAAAACCAGTCACTGGCCAGACAAATAGAGACCAAACCCACACTTAGCAGGTGCAGGGGCTCCTCCCTACGTGGTGCATGTCGACGGTAGTGGTTGACAACAGCGGCGACGAGTGATCCTCCGACAGTGGTGCGTGGGCTGGGCTAGGCAGGGCTGGGCGGAGGTTATACGATAGATTTTGGACAATTTTACCCCTGGACACTTAGCTTGCGATTACTGGTCAATTACATTGGTACATTTACTGAAACTTTATGGCGAATAGTGGTTGCCCTAAAGTAGCAGATTTGCATCTCCTGATTTTTTACGAACCTTCGACGTGGTCCGCTCTGGTAAATGGCTTATCTTATTTAATTTTTAGCATTAACGGTTCATTGCAAGGAGTGACAAGAGGATTGGGGTTAGCGTGTGGGATAACCATTCCATGTGCTAGAAATTAGGAAGTACTTACCTTTAATTATTTCGTGATTGAATTATTCATTGATAAAATCAACTTATTATCTCTGTGATATACTATGTGTGAAACTGTTTGGTTAACATATCTCTTGTTGTACAGTTATTTCCATTAGAATATCTAGACCTTACCCGTTTGAACATTTTCTTGATCTAAGATCGAGAATCTTACGACATCCTGTGAATCTAAAATTGTGTATATTGTTTGCGAACTTTGTGTGGCTTAATTGTGATTATGTTTTTTTTTATTGATTCTTAAAAATGACAACTCACAATTGTGATTTGAGAATTTTTAACGAAAAATGTGATTTTTCAATCTAGAAACAAAAAATGAGAAATACTTTGGTTCAGCAAAATGTTTCAAAAGTCACTGATAACAATTTTGCCGATTTGTCAAAAGAACAAAAAGAAAAAGCCAATGAGGGTGCTTACACTTCAATCATTTTACACTTGTCTAACGTTGTTTTAAGAAAAGTGGGTAAACTGAAAACCAGTAAAGAACTTTAAAAAAATCGGAAGACTTGTATTTGTTCAAATTTATTCTGAACAAGTTTTACTTGAGCTTTTTTTTCAACTTTAAAATGGATCCGTCAAAGGATCTTGATGACATTTAGACGTGTTTAACAAACTTGTTCAAAATATTTTTAACTGTGAAGCGATGGTGTCTGAAACCTATAAGGCTCTAATCTTGCTTAATTCTGTACCTGACATTTATAAGGAAGTCAAGAATGAAATTAAGTATAGTAGGGACACATTGACACCTGAAATTGTCATTGACTCACTTAAAAGTAAGNAGGGCTGAAAAACATGATAGGAAGAGCGGTGAGATTCACATGATGAGGGGTAGAACTCAGTTTAGGCAAAACAGTCATAATGGTTACCAAAGTAGTGGCGAGTCTAGTAGTAATGGACATAGAAGGAAAAGCAGGGGTAAGCCTAGATCCAAATCTAGGACTAAGGAAAGAAAATGTTATGGCTGTGGGAACACGGGGCATTTTATAAAAGATTGCTATAAAGAGAATAGTAAGCTAAAGGGTAAAGATAGAGATGAAATAAATGTGTCGTCTTCTGTTTCCAATGCCGATGATGGTGAAGTTTATATGATTACAAGTTATGTTGCTTATCCTACTGAGTTGAATCTAATTGTCAATTCTTGTTTGCATGAGTAAATACTTGATTTTTGTGCATCTTTTCATGTGAGATCACAAAAGAATTGGTTTGAAAACTTACATGAATCAAATGATGGACATGTTGTGCTATGTGACAATTCTTCTTATACTATTGTTGGGATTAGTAATATTACTTTAAAGTTTGATATTGATTTTTTATATACTTTAAAAGATGTTAGATACATTCATGAACTGTTTAGGATTTTAATTTCAGTAGAAAGACTTAAGAAATCTGACTTCACTTGTAAAATTGGAAATAGACTTTTAAAATTGGTTAGTGGTGCACTTGTTTTCATAAAGGGGACTAGGAAAAATGATATTTGAAATGTGATATGAGGTTTAGATTCATTTATCTCTTCCGCCAAGGCTGATCATACATGTAAATGACACAATAGATTAACACGTGTGGGTATTAAGGAGCTTAAACTTCTTAATAAAAATGTGTTTTTGGTAATGATTGTGTGTCTGATTTACCTTTTTGTGAACAATGTGTGCTTGAATATGTGCATTCAAACTTGTAGGATCGTGCAAGTAATCCCACCTTAGGTGGAAATAGATATTTATTGTCTATAATTGATGATTACACGAGAAAATTGTAGGTTTATCTTTTAAAGGATAAGTTTGATACTTTTTATAGTTTTAATAATTGGAAAAAGACAAGTTGAGAACCAATCTGGCAAGATGATTAAGATTTTTAAAACTGATAATAGCTTAGAGATTTGTAACATCGAATATGATAATATGTGCAAAGAAAATAGAATAACAAGCTATAAGATTGTTACTTACACTCCCTACCAATATAGGGTAGTTGAAAGAATTAATAGAACCATACTTGATAAAGTGCATTTCATGATGTTAAGTTCTGGTATACCAAAGTCATTTTGGGGCGAAGCTGTTGTGACTACTTGTTATATAATTATTTTGACTCCATCTATTGCATTGAATTGTGATACTCTTCATGAAAATTGGTAAACTAAGTGATTATTCTATGTTTAAAATTTTTGGTTATGTTGCATTTTCTCATCAGAGTGAGAGAAAGTTTGAACCTAGAACTAGAAAATGTGTTTTTCTAGATTACATTGAGGGTGTTAAGGGTTATAGATAGAAGCCAAAAAGGGTTAAGATCATTGTGAGTAGAAATGTTACATTCAATGAGGGTAAAATATCGTGCCTTAAAACTGAATATGAACCTGTGGGTGAAGAAGAACAAGGTGAAGAGAGAGATCAGTTGAAGGGGAGTTAGGAAAACTTAGCATATCTGTCCTTACTATTCATATTGAGGTAGAGATTCAAGTTCAGAAACTTGAGGTAGAGAATAGACAGAAAGTAGTGATAGAAGAACATCTTGAGGAAGATAACCCCTACCAAATTATAACTTAGTTAGGGATAGAAAGTAGAATTAAAAAAAAAAATTGGATCTATTATCTATTTGATTGTTTACATTAGACCGGATTTAGCCTTTACATGTCTAATATGGGCCCTGAGCATTGAGAACCTTAAAATAGATGTTAAGGTATTTAAAGGGGACTCGTGATGTAGATTTAAAGTTTGGTGCTAATAAAGAATGTGTGAAATTGAAGGGTTTATAGATGCGGACTATGTGGGGATAGGGATAATAAACAATCTACCTCTTCATATGTGTTTACTTTGTCTAACTCTTATATTAATTGGAAATTACAATTACAATACATAATCACACTGTCCACTATAGAATCAGAAGATATTGCTACCACTGAAGCAATTAAAGAGGCTTTGTGATTTAGATGTTTACTTCATGAACTTTGTGTTATAAATAATTATGTAGCACTATATGCAGATAGTCAATATTCTATACATTAATGTAAAAATCTTATTTTTCACGAATGCACCAAAGATATTGATGTTGGACTACATTTAATTAGAGATATTGTATCACTAGAAGTGGTAAAACTTGAAAAAAATCCATACACAATATAACCCCTTTGACATGTGGCACTAAAATGTTGCCATTGGTGAAGATTAGAAGTTGAAAGGATCTTCAAAATATCGATGGAGGTAAATAATTTTCAATTTTATCAGTTCTCCTTTTGAAATTATTACTAATATATGATAATGTTTTCTTGCAGGTCATTTGACATTAAGGTGGAGGTTTGTTGGGCAAATTGTTGTCAAACGATCTCCCGAACTATGATGTAACTCGGTATAAGTTTTTCAGTCGGCATTGACTAATTGACTGAACTAAAAGTCAACTCCTCAGAATGATACGACTCGACCCTAAAACCATTTGAAGCAACCTAATTTTATTAATGTTTCTTATGGCCCGCTTTCCGACTCCTTGGATGGCTTATGGTAAATGACCCATTTAGTAATTCACTTGACCACTTATTGGGTTTGTCCAATTTTTACACCCCAATTACGCATTATATATGCCGCTTCCTTTCTCCGTGTCTTATGTATGTCATTGCTTTATCTTCTTCCTTCGGTGAAAATCGACGCGTGCTTCGTGCTCTCCTTACTGTGCCTTTCTTCATTTTCTTTGGCATTTGTGATTGCTTTTGTGGTTGCAATAACGTCCTTATTGTGTGTTCTAAGTGGGCATTCTAAAGCAACCAGAGTTGGGTCCTCTTTTATTCGATTTTGATTGATTGCAGTGTATACTGGGCTCGGAAAAGCCTTGGTGATCTTCCTTCTGCATAACAAGTAGTTTACAAAATAGTTTTGCATGTATTCATTTTTGAAACTGTTACTAAAACTTACAAAATAAATAACATTTAGTATACTAAAATTTTGATCAATTTATTGCTCATATTTACTAAGGTACTTTGGTATTATCCTACATAATTATGTTTAACCTTTTGCCTGATTTAAACAAATGTTATTAAAGTGAGTTGGCAAAGTGGAAGAACAGAGTGAGAGACGGATTTTGAATAAACAAACTGACATGTCTTATAATTAGCCCCTGTTTGGTGAAGAATAAAAATAATATTTTTAGTAGATTTTGATAAAAGTTGATGAAACGTTTGTTTGAAAAGTTGTGAATCCCATAAAATATGTCATTAAAATTAATTGTCGACTTTTAATCCCTACCAAACAGGGCTCAGTGGCTTATTTTTACGAGAATTATAAGAATAATAATTATATACGCTCTGGGAAGAAGCCTATTGACTTCCAAACCTCTCTCGTTCACCAGCTATATCTGTAATAATCACCCCACACTCCTCCTAAACTTCCTCAACCTCCACCTCTCTCTCTCTCTCTCTCTCTCTAAACAAATTTAGTGTATCGCGGTGGTGGTGGCCGCAGCGGTGAAGGCAGCTGGTGGCGAAACATGGATGGTCGGGACGAACTCAATATGGCGCCTAGAGATCTCTACCATCTTGTGAAGGGCAAGAGAACCAAAAGACAGAGGCCTCAATCTCCAATTCCAATATTCCCCATCACAACACATGATTCATCAAGCAAAGATAATTGGAACCACCATAATTCGAGCTTTTCGTCCGAGAGCACCACCGCGGAAGAGGAGGACACAGCCAAGTGCCTAATCCTCTTGGCTCAAGGTCGTCAATTTTCATCAAAAAAAGTTGATCATAATGATGATGATGATCAAGATTTCAAATTCAATAGCAAAAAGAACATAGAACCAGGCATATGTGTCTATGAATGCAAGACATGTAACCGAACTTTTCCTTCATTTCAAGCACTTGGAGGCCATAGAGCAAGCCACAAGAAGTCTAAAATCACGACAGGGTTCGTTTTGTCCGATGAAGATCAAGATCGTGATCATTTCTCATTCAGACCAAAAAACAGTTTGTCTTCTTCTCCATCTCTTCAATTGACCAATCCCACAAACAAGTCTTCCTCTTCAAGGAAAGTTCACGAGTGCTCGTATTGCGGGGTGAAGTTCACATCTGGACAGGCCTTGGGAGGCCACATGAGACGACACCGGGGAGGGCCAGTGTCCACGAATACAACTTTGTCATTGAGTTCACTGAGTCCAGCTTCTTTCGAAAATCAAGAGTCAGACGAATTATCAAAGAAGCCGAGAAATGGTCTGTCTTTGGATCTAAATCTTCCGGCCCCAGAAGATGATCCTAACCATACATTTGCATTTAACTCAAAGAAACAGCAACAGCAACAAAAAGAAGGAAGCCTTGCTTTGTACACTCCTCCAACATTGCTCAACTGTCATTATTGAGAACGGTTTATTTTTTTAAATTTTATTTTAAATACACATTCATTGATACATAAAAGTAGCAGTTTTTATTTTCCTAAAATTCATTGATTCTTTTGAAAATGTATTTTTACTGTTGATACGTCTCATTTAATTGGATATTTGCAATTCTTTGAATTCTTTTTTCTGCAAGAAAGAGAAGCTGGAAGGGAGGTTGGCATAGAGTTGTCACCAGCATTAACAACCAGAAGTCTCGTGGTTTCACTATCTGAGTGACAAGAACTCTCTCTCTCTCTCACACACACACAAGCGACATCAAGAATTTAAAATAGAACGCCAGAATGTAACTGCAGTTGGAATATGAATTCACATCTCCTCTTCAACCCTCATCATAATACTTTCTTGCTGAATTTTTGTTCTTTCCTTGACACAGTCCACTCACTCTTTTTAACTTTATTTATTCCACTTTGTGATCTGGTTTTCTCCCCTCTTGCAAGTCTCCTAAGCTGTTTGTTTATTACTTAAAACCTAGTATAATAGTGAGATAAACAGGAGGCTTAATTGTCTCAAAAAGAAAAAAAAAATTAAACTCAAATAATCTATTTCTTAATAGGCGTGATGACCACAAACATTATTAACCCGAGAAAGAAAAAATGGGTTATCAAGAGTGTCGTTTTAAAAAAAAAAAAAAATACTCTTAAAAGTAAATCGATTTTCATCAACTAAAAAATTTTAGTCTTCCAGAAGTTTTCGTGCAATCTAGATACGAGGCTAACCGTCTAGAGAAATTGAGGAAGTTGTGAAAATATAGGAAATGAGTTAATATCCTCAAAATTATCGAAGGCTTTGAAATGACCTTGTGCCTACAGCGGTTAGGCGATGACATCCATTATATTCTAAGGGAGGTCAAGAATTTTAATTTTGCGCCCAACACTGATCCTTACATTATGGAATTCTTGTCATTGGTCATGAGCTGTGTTTGTGCTGCCATTGTCTGTATGTGCATGTGTTAGCAGTAGTGGTTCAATAAAGACTGAGATACTGTTTGGATGCACCTGTTGTTTGTACCTCACGAGTCACGTTAATTGGTCAGTGCTTGTTTGGTAAAGCTTTCGTTTGATAAAAATTTAATCAAACTTCGTTCACAGTCTCTTAATCTCAACCACATGGTTTAACTTGATGAAAAGAAGAATCCTCTTGAAATCGAAGGTGATATCAAGAACACCATATCTCGTGCGGGGATGATCTAGAAGATCCAAAATAAAAAATACCGGTATTTGCTAGCAACGACATAATGGAGGCACTCAATTAATATATATCGATCCGAAATCTGATTCAAACCAACGTGTGATAAATATTGGATCAAGGTTTTCATTATAGTTTTTTTTTTATTGTCTACTTAAAAAAAAAAAAAAAGAACAATAAGCGTGTAATTCTTTTTTATGCCTGCCATTGTAGCACGTGTGTCGTCCAGGGCATGATAATTTGACGTGCTTTGGTTCATTATCTGGGATTCTGATCCATGAGAGATTGAATTAGAAGAGGACAGACAAACCGAGCAATTAATAATTTTTGCTGTCAAGTTCATGGGTTTCTCGATAAAGTGAGATGCCAGTTAAGTTGGTAGGGTTCTACCTCATATTTTTATGAAAAGAAATGAATATTGATATATAAACCCCAAAATTATTCATATAATGGTTCCTACTTCTTATCCACAGTTAGCATAATCTCTAGTGATCATACTTGAGTATCACATCGTAGACCCTCAATTTCTACAATAAAGTGAATCATCCCTTGTTCGAATTGGAGGGCAAAACTATCCTTTCATGACATCCAACGTGCATTATTGATTGAAATCATTATTAGGAATAAAATGTGCTAATAAATAAAAGGTCGAGGATAAATATATAAAGAAAAATCAATTGCACACAAAGATGTTACGAGAGTCAAAGATGAAACGTGCAATTTACAGTTATTGATTTTGAAGCAAAAGTTTTAGAGATTGAAGATTCAACCTCTACAACTTGTGCTTCAACATCAATAATAGTAAGAACATAGGGAAATTTTCTTCGACGTGTTCAAAATTTGCTTCAATAGCTAAGGAGACGTGACAAATACAAACTTGAAAAGTTGAGTACTGTATTTTCAAGAAATAGAGGTTAAGCACTCATTTGTACAAATTTAATATGTGAGGGACCTGTACTGAAATTATGTTAATAACAATAAGTCATTGGTTGTTTAATATTGACATTGTTAATAAACCATTAAAATTAATATTTCAAGAACCAGTCACTTAACATTAATAAGATAAAATGTAACATTAAATCCTAAAATTTTAAAACCACAATCCTAATAAACCTCCAAAAGAAATCCATTGAAATAAAAGAGTTCTATTCTATATTACGTATAAGCAGATGTACACTCGAGCTTAAAAAAATGCAAGCATCCAGACGATCATGACGATATGGTACCTGCACACACAAGAAAGAAGTTACTATCTATTATAAATGTTGAGTCTGTCTTAGTATTATTATATATCAAATATGTCAAAATTGTACAGAATTTAATTACCAGATGCCAATTTGAGACATCCTAACACCAGCAGATGGTGCAGCTGGTGGCGTTGGAACTGGTAATGGCTTTGGGGTGGGTGGAGGAGGCGGTGGTGGCGGCGGCGGCGGTGGTGGTGCTACAATCTTTCCTGTATAACATTATCGAAACCCATTAATTAAAAAAAAAAAAACTTAATCAGAATGGTCCAAAGAAAAGCTAAAGTAAATAAATTTAGATAGAGTGCCAGCCACTAACCACAAAACATGAGATTTTCTGGGGGTGGTCTCTCTTTGGCAGGATTGGTATCAGGATCATAAACTCTAACATAGAGTTCTTGTCCTAAATACCAATGCTTCAGATTTTGTGACCTTAAATTCCACATTCCAGGGTTGTCTAGGTAGACATAAACTGCACTCCATCCTCCTGGGTACACCTAATGTCATCCGACATGCTAAGAATTATAAACTGAAGGTAATCGAGACAAAATACTAAAAAAGTAATACAACTTTAAAAGAAAAAAAATCTATTTTAGGAAATATTTTACAACAATTCACCTGAACAGTAGATCGCACAACTGGATCATAAACGTTGTACGTAGAACGCAATGCCGGTGTCCACTCTCCTATTCCGTACCTACACGATCACAAATTAAAAAAACTCATGACCTGTTTATATCATGGATTGAACTAAATTAAAGAGGTGATAAGTCAAGCTGATCTAATTTTCACAACACCAAACCTGTTTTTGGACCGAAACTCTATTTATCTAATCAAACCGATAGAACATAACAGAATTAAGACTTACCCAACCACGAAAAATCCAAATCCATCCAAATGCCAAGAGTCCATGGAATTCAAATCATTCTTGAACACAATCTCCAGCCAATTCTTGTGGGTCCCCGAAACAACAAATGTTCCATGAACCGGTGTTTTAAGGCTAGAGTGAATAGGAAAGGCATCGAGCTGGTAAACATCGGTGCCATTAACGTAGTAATCAGCCAATTTCAATGGAGTTGTTGGAGTATTATACGACACGTTGTTGACAGTGAGACGAGGAAGCCCATCGATTTTAGCAAATGATCCGTGAAGAACAAATGTCTCTGATGCCGTCACGTTCGAAACATTGAAGGTTCCTTGTGGGTTCGGCCTCGCAGCACCCGCCGTCAGGTTCCATCTAATCGAGCATATCAGTTGTCAAAATGCAACTTCTGTTAATTTCTAAATTGCATTTCATTACAAGTTGATCACTAAATTAAACTTTGTTACAATAGTGTATTAAACCCGATCTTAATCATGATTCATTTACCTGATGGATTTAGCTTGATCGATGGAAAAGGAAAGATCAAATGGATCAGGCCCAATTGGTAGAGGCCCATCAGCAGTCTTGTTGGAATTTTCATAATGTAAGATCCCAACAGCAGAAATGGATGTTTGATTAATAAAATTAACCCATTTAGGGCTGGCCACCATATAATAATCAGCTGGGTTCTGATCTGCTGTGACTAGCACAGAGTAGGACTGGCCCACATGAATATCAAGAGAATCGACCGTGATCTGATTGGTGTATGATCCCTCCGTCTCCACGACCACCATTTTATGATTTTGAATCCTGAAATTCATGCTCCATACATTGCCAATGTTTGAAACCCTAAAACGGTACGTTTTTCCTACAAAATACCCGAAATCAAATCTACAATAAGTAGAAACGTTACATGTCCAGTAAGTATAAACGTTCAATATTGTATCTAAGTGTGTTTAGTAATGTATTATGTGTCCTAAAAATATAATTTCGATTACAAAATAAAAATTACGAACTTCTTACTGTATCAAAGAATTACAAACTTCTTACCTTGTGAGACGGTGAAGTTTTCATGGGCTTTTGCAAGTGGGTCCAAGAATGAGCCTTTCCCATTCATCAGCATCAAATGAGGTTGTATGTGGTATGCAGCTTTCCTAACATCCTGTTAGTTTGGCCCAAAAGGGATAATACACAAATGAAAAAAAGGGAAAAAAATTGCGTCTTTACTTTTTAGCGGTGTCAAACGAGTCAAACTCAACCTTCCAACAATGGAAGGTCGGAACCGAGTCCGAAATCACGATACAATGACAATTTTATGCATGAATTACTACCTTATAACTCTGTTGATACCAATCACCGATAAGAAGATCAAACTCTGCTTCGGGCTTGGGAAATGGAACGTTAATGATAATCCGATTGTTAACTCGTAGTGGGCCGAAGCCACCACCGGCCCGTTGGAAATTTATTGAAGGGAAGTAGAAGAAGCTACCAATTTGGTCCTTCACTTGGAAAACATAAGTCCAATTCTTACCGGGCTGGATCGGACAATTTGTACCCGAAACTCCATCTTGCCAAGAGTTTAGTCTTTGTTGAATACCATTCCTGCACCAATATTACGTTATATTAAACGTACTTGGTATACTGAATTGAACCGCAATGAAGATAATGTGTTG